ACACGTGTCCACCCAGCACATGGGGTAAATATTCTCCTGCAGCTCAGTCAGAGACCCTCACGCGCGTCTGCCATACACGCGTCTGGGCCTATGTCGATCAGCTTGCTCGATTACTCAGCTTGCTCGATCACTGGTCTGGTCGATTAGCGGGTAGCTCGACCAGTCTGATCGAGCATCGGGCTGCTCAATCACCTGTGCAGTCAAGCCTCGGGTTGTTCGATCACTTGTGTGGTCGAGCCTTAGGCCGCTCGATCACGTGGACCCCCGCCTTTCGGCTCGGTTCACTTCCGGTTTGTCCTTCTCGACCGGCTCACCAAATCGGCTCGTCTTTATACAGATAATATCCTATATCATGTATATAATCAAAAAAAAAGAAAAAAGAATGACTAGATTGGTTTATACTCAGTATATTTTTTGTATATAAAGTGTTTTAGTTCTCCTTTTGTTTTCTCATGTCCATATAAAACACCTGATATATAGCTGAAACTTTGTATACTGATTTTCGAACTAAAGAAAAACCAAATAAAAGACAATAAGGCATGAAGAAAAGCAATGAAAATAGGAAGCCATAATTAAAAAACCATGTGCATTCATTAATTTCTTCATGCTGTCATATTTCCTTGTACATGCATATATGCTGTTCTATTTTATCAAGGCAGAACATGTCCTACTATATTGGTGCTAAGGCTGCGCACATCTCAGTAATGAAAGGACACGTGTATGGATGATATTCATTCTCAGGATTTAGGGTTATGTGTACTGCATGGATCGGTTTTCTTCTTCTCCACGTATGCATGCTTGCTTTCCACGTGAGCAGTCCCTTTTTCCTTGTCATTGTTGAAGTGTTGAAGATTATAGCCTCTTCTAACAGCCCCCTTCAATTCTATGCTCGACTTTTCATTAATCATCAATCTGTTTCTCAAGCAAGCATAGAATTGTCCTGAAAGAGGCTTGGTAAAAATATCTGCCACCTGTTCAGTAGCTGGTATGTGCCTAATAGTAACAATCTTGCTCTCAACCTTTTCCCTTATAAAATGCAAATCAAGCTCAAGGTGTTTTGTTCTAGAGTGATTCACAGGATTCCCAGCTAAGCACACATCTCCCCTATTATCAACCCATATGTTGCTTGGCTTAGGTGATTTTATCCTCAGTTCATTCAATAAGGATTGAATCCACATGATCTCACATGTGACTTGTGCAGCACTCCTGTATTCTGCCTCGGTTGAAGACCTTGAAACCAGATTTTGTTTCTTAGATGACCAAGAGATCAGATTCTCTCCCATGTAGACACATATTCCACTTGTAGACCTCCTATCATCCACATCAGACCCCCAATCAGCATCTGAAAACCCAGTAATCTGAAAATCCTTACATCTATTTAACAGCAAACCAAAATCCTTGGTTCCTGCCAAATACCTTAGTATTCTCTTCACTGCTTTCCAATGCTTATCCAAAGGAGAGTGCATAAATTGGCACACTTTGTTAACACTGAAGGCCACATCAGGTCTTGTGAGAGAAACATACTGTAGGGCCCCCACTATTTGCCTATACAGTTTACCATTTGACATAGGTTGACCATCAAACTTTGATAGAGGTGGATGGCTGAGCATGGGTGTGCTTATGCCTTTTGCCCCCTTCATGCCAACTCTATCAAGAATGTCATCTATGTAGGAGGATTGATCAAGAAACAAACCCTGAGAGGTATATGAAACTTGAATTCCCAAGAAAAAATGAAGAGAGCCAAGGTCTTTTAAGGAAAAGAAAGAGGAAAGAGAGGTGATGGTGGTTTGAATGAGGGAACTGTGACTGCCTGTGATGATAATGTCATCAACATAGGCTAGGATGAATAAGGATCCTTCTGAAGAATGTTTAAAGAAAAGTGATGTGTCAGCCTGAGATGTGGAAAAACCAAGAGAATGGAGGATAGAACTCAGTTTTGAAGACCAAGCCCTTGAGGCTTGCTTTAATCCATAAAGAGACTTGTGAAGTTTACAGACTAGGTTCTGAGGGTGAGAGACTTCAAATCCTTTAGGTTGATGCATGTAAATCTCTTCAATGAGATCACCATTAAGGAAGGCATTGTCCACATCTATTTGATTGATTGGCCAACCTAGAGAGACAGCAAGGGTTAAGATAATCCTTATGGTAGTAGGTTTAACAACCGAGCTGAAGGTCTCTGTATAATCAACTCCAGCATTTTGAGTGAACCCTTTGGCCACAAGTCTGGCTTTGTGCCTAGCAATGGAGCCATCTGGATTTGTTTTTAACTTAAAAACCCATTTATTGTCCACAATATTCTGATGAGCAGGTGCAGGAACCAAAGTCCAAGTTTTGTTTTTGAGGAGGGCATCATATTCTTCTTTCATTGCCTTGAACCATTCTGGGGAGAGTAGGCCATCCTCAATGGAGGAAGGTTCTTTTGGAGAGTTAACAACAGCTGAAAATACTCTTGGCTTAAAAATGCCAGACTTGGATCTTGTTTGCATGGGGTGGGGACCTGCAGCAAAATGGTTAGGTGGAACATGCTGTTGTAAAGGTAAGTCTATGTAGATTTGCCCAATAGGTATTTGAGAAGGAGAAGATGGTGTGAAGAACTAGAAGAATGGGAGGAACTTGTAGTTGCAGGTCTGGGAATAGAGGAAGAAGAAGAAGTATGTGAAGGAGTAGATGAGGGGGATGCTGAGTGGTTGTTGTTAAAGTGAGGTGGGGAAAGTGGTGGTGGGGAGTGATGTGAATAGTTTTGAGAAGATGTAGTAGGAGTAATGTTGTGCTGTGGGACTATGACAGGTAAAGTGGTCATGTAAGGGAATGTTGGAGAAATGATAGAAGGTGACTGGGGTGGAGTTTGGTGTTTGAGAGGAAAGGTGGTCTCATCAAACATAATGTGCCTAGTAATAATGATTTTATGGTTAGGCAGAAGCACTTTGTACCCCTTGTGCTCAGGGCTGTAACCAATAAAAACAGATGGTAAGCTTTTGGGTTGCAGTTTATGCTTGTTGTATGGTTTGAGGAGGGGGTAACAAAGGCAACCAAAAGATCTAAGGTCATGATAGTTGGGAGGTTTGCAGTGAAGAGCTTCAAAAGGTGACTTAAAATCAATGAGTTTGTTGGGTGTTCTGTTGATAAGGTAAGAACTAGTAGCAAAGGCTTCATCCCAAAAGGAAAAAGGAAGATTGGACTGAGTGAGTAAAGATAGTCCTACTTGAACAATATGTCTGTGTTTGCGCTCTACCAAGCCATTTTGCTCAGGAGTGTAGGGGCATGAGATGTGAGAAATAATGCCTTTTTCAAGGAATATGGGTTTGAGAGATGTGAATTCACCTCCACCATCACATTGGAAGGTTTTGATAGAGGAGTTAAATTGGTTCTTGATTAGAGCTGAGAAGTGGAGGAATGCTGATTTGGTGTCTGACTTGGCCTTAAGGAGATATAACCAGACAAATCTAGTGCAGTGGTCAATGAAACTTATGTAGTATCTAAAACCTTTGTGTGAAGTGACAGGTGCAGGCCCCCATAAGTCTGAATGGACCAAATCAAAAGGTTTAAGATCTTTCACATCAGCAATATGAAAAGGTAATTTGTGAAATTTTGACTGCATACAAGCATCACATAAAGGATCAACCTTATCATTAACAAAAGCAATATTAGATTGATGTAAAGCAGTCTTAACAATAGCATAAGAAGGGTGTCCAAGTCTTTGATGCCATACATGAAGTGTAACAGTGCTAGAAGTAGGGGAATTCAAAACAGTTTGGAAGCAAGAAGAAGTAACATAAGGGTCTGAGGATGGAGTGTCTTGAGCTTTGACAAGAGTGAAGCAATAGAGGCCATCCTTAAGTGTGCCTTGGAGAAGGGGAGCTCCTGTCTTGAGATCCTTCACAAAACATAAGTTGGAGTGAAACTCAAAGAAGACTGAGTTGTCCCTTGCAAACTTTGATACACTTAGGAGATTTTTTGTAATGTGAGGAGTATGAATAAGATTGTTTAGGAGAAATGTGTGAGAGTTTTGAGAAGAGGGGCATCTCAACATAGAGCTACCTAAATGAGCAATGTCCATACCTGCACCATTAGCTGTCTGCACCCTATCATTTCCATGGTAATCAGTGGCAATGCTCATGTTGTTCAGATCATTTGTGAGGTGGTGAGTGGCACCTGAGTCAGGAAACCAATAGAGATCTTGTGAGCCACTCTCACTGCTTGGTGACCCAAAGCTTGCAACATCGGCTGAGGGATAATTTCCTTGACTTGAGTTGCTTGAGGTTCCTTGGTTCTGTCCTCTTGAAATGAAATTAGGGTCAAATCTGAAATAGCATTCTTTAGCAGTGTGGTTGTTGTAGTTGCAGATCTGGCACCTAGGTCTGCTGGTGTTTCTTCCACCTCTGCCTCTATATGGACCTCCTCTAGCATTGCTTCTTCCTCTAAAACCTTGGCCATCTCCTGATCTACCTCTGTTGTTCGTGAATCCTCTTCTTCTTCCTTGAGGGTAAGTCACTAAGTTTGCAGCCAGTTGAGGGCCTTCACTTTCACTTGAGTTTTCAAAGCTCTCCATTCTGCTTTCAAAGCTCAGCAAGACAGCATATGCTTCCATCAAGGTGCATTTTTCAGATCTGGAGGTTAAACTTACAACAACTGGGTTGTATTCCTGCCCAAGGCCAGAAAGAAGATGTAGGATCTGGTCACTCTCTTCAACTTTATGCCCAGCTGCAGCCAACATATCACAGGTCCCTTTGATCTTGTTGAAAAATTCTCTAATCTTTTGGTTACCTTTCTTCATGGTTTGAAGCTCTAGCTTGAGCTGCATTTGCTTGGCCAAACTGTGGCTAGCAAAGCTTTTCTTTAGGCAGTCCCAGATCTCTTTTGCTGAGTTGAGCCCAACAGTGGTGGTGAGTATACTCTCAGATAATGAGGAGAGAAGCCAAGATGCTATGAGTTGATCTTGTTTCACCCATTGAAGATAAGCCTTGTTGACTATGACTTCATTTGTTGCTGGATCTCGGGTGATTTTGTCAGGCTGAGGTGTTTCTCCGTTCAAGAAACCATAAAGATCATATCCTCTGAGAGTGGTTAGGATCTGCTGCTCCCAAATCAAAAAATTATTTTCATTTAGCTTTGTGGATACTAGCTGGTTTTGGAGATGTACGATCGGATCTGGTTGAGAAGTTGAAGCCATTGCAAGAAAAGGAAAAAGGTAATCAGAGCCTAAGCTCTGATACCATAAAGGAAAACCAAATAAAAGACAATAAGGGATGAAGAAAAGCCATGAAAATAGGAAGCCATAATTAAAAAACCATGTGCA